TTAGTATTTTTATAGGACTAACCTATAGAACCTGGTTCTATTGTAGACACTTATAGATTCAGCTGTGATCTCTCATGGGACTAGATAATGGACCAGAGATACCTAGACATCAAACAGGTTTTACAGGTTAGTATTTTTTAGGACTAACATATAGAACCTGGTTTTATTGTAGACACTTATAGATTCATCTGTGATCTCTCATAGGACTAGATAATGGACCAGAGATATCTAGACATCAAACAGGTTTTACAGGTTAGTATTTTTTTTATGACTAACCTATAGAACCTGGTTCTATTGTAGACACTTATCACTTATAGATCCATCTGTGATCTCCCATAGGACTTGATAATGGACCAGAGATACCTAAACACCAAACAGGTTTTACAGGTTACTATCTTCTGATAACTAAACTATAGAACGTGGTTCTATTGTAGGCACTTATAGACAGGTCCATCTGTGATCTCTCTTTGGACCAGATAATGGACCAGAGATATCTAGACACCAAACAGGTTTTACAGGTTAGTATCTTCTGATGACTATCCTGTAGAACCTGGTTCTAATATAGACACTTATAGATCCATCTGTGATCTCCGATAGGACCAGATAATGGACCATATATATACCAATTGATTCCCCTATATATTTATTTGTTTAGAAATGTTTTGATTGTTATGGACATTATTTAATGGTTTCAAAACATTAAATTCTTAATTGGATTTTTTTCGTATTGTTGAAAAATATGTCATAACAATCAGCTATCCCCATCCGGTCATGGTATTTGAGTGAATATAATAATCCTTTGTGTTTATAAAAATGAGATGTGGTATGATTGCCGATGAGACAACTATCCACCTAAGTTCAAAGAAGTGGATGTAAGCAATTGCAGGCAACCGTACAGCCTTGATCAATGAGAAAATTCCACACTGTATAGTCGGCTATTAAAGGTCATGACATGAGAATTATGAAACAATTCAATTGAGAAGACTAACGGCCTAATTAATAACAAAAGAATTTACGAAAGACAAATATGACAGACATGAACCAACGACAACCATTGAACTACAAGCTCCTGACTTGGGACAGGCACATATAGAATGTGATAGGGTTAAACATGTTTGATGGCGCATCTACAATTATTTAAGCTGTTAAATGGAACAGGAAGCAATAGAATGGGAAACATGTTTCTCTCATTATTTTTTGGTTATACATGTATACTGATATATTTTAGGTGATGATGTCGAGATATTCTTGGGTGTTTCTGCCAATTAATAAAGGCCAAAATCATTGGATCTTGTGAGCAGCAAAGATTCCTGAGCTGTCAGTGTCTATTTTAGATTCAATGAATGGACAAAATCATATTTTCATTGAAAATTGGAGGTATTTAATATTTGAATAATCATAATAATCTCAGTGTCAGTAATGTCAGAGGAGATCTAAAACACGATTGTCCTTACATCAGTATTAGACCTGGATCATGAGCTAGTGCATTCAGTTTAATATATGGATTTAAGAACGAAACCAGTTATGATTTTGAAAATCGGATTCAATAATACATTAGTATTCCCCTCTACATCAAGCTATTCAATATAATCATCTATTTCATTTCTTGGAGAATTATTTTCAATGGAGAAAATATATCACCTTAT